TGAACTAAGTCATTACAAAGACAGCACTATAGAAAAGCTATAAGGAGATTTATAAATATCAGTATTTGGTGCATGGTTTGAATAATGTGTAGTAAATAATGTATGGACCACACATGAACAATGAGAATAAAAATAAATATTGAATAACAGCCCATTAAAATATTAGGGAGGGGATAAAGTAGTATGTGTCCGGGGAATTAAAATAAAGCATACAAAAGAGCTGAACTAGGTGCCACAAATAACTTTAACATTGACATTTCCTAACTTTTGAGTGCTTGAATTTGCAACATTAATCTGATTTTAATATAAGGATTTTCCCATGACTGTTACAGATTACTAATCTATCTCTAAAAGGTCCTATTATTGGTGATCTGACAGCTACGTAATATAATCTGATGATGTAAAAGTTCCATAAACTGGACCTGCCCTAAAGTGGCTCACTACTTGCCACAGAGCTCTACTGAAAGAGCTCTACACCAAACCCTCCAGTTTCCAGTGTATGGAGTAAGCCAGAAGACAGAAGGAAGAGTGTATGCTGCTATTCTCAGTCTGCAGCCACTCCAACCAGAGTTTATTGTATTTTAGAGCAGTCCTATAACCCTAAGGACTGGACAGAATCTTGGCTGGGTCAAGAATATTGGAAGGTTTTAAAGTGGTACACAACCCCTTTACGCTCATCCTTCCATTTCTACTAACATCAACTCAGCACAATGAAAATCGGGGCACCATTCCTTGTGACCTGCACAACTGTTCTTATCTTGTTAATTGGGACACGCTCTGCTTAAAAATCTCATTGTAAATAAACACAAGTTTCTGTGTTATAAATTAGACCCTAATTGTTTAAATGACCAAACTTTAAAAAATCCAATTTACCTGTCACTATTTATATTTTCCATTTCTCCCAGTCAGATCAATGGCAATCAATGAAGCCAGTTTCCCTTTCTTTATTTTATTCACTTTCGGGTTCTCAAAAGCAATGTCTGAGTTTCCAAAACCACAGGGGAATGCTGATTTGTTTTGAAACAAAGTTTTATCACTGGAATTTTTTTCAACTGTGCAAATGTTTCTATTGATCTAAAATTTTGCAAGAGATTGCTTGTATACTATGTAAATTTGGGAGTCAATTTAGGTTGGCAATGTCCCTATACCTCCGAGCTGCACATCTACACAGAAGAGTAAATAAGATGTAAACATCTGTACCAAAATGCATGCAATTCCTTTGTTTTATGTTATGCTGCAACCTGTCGTCAGTTCTCAGAAAAATAAGCCTGTCTTAGGGGTAAGAGAAGAAGAATGTTATTTGCCCTCTGTTGGCTAAGAAAAAGATAAAAGGCCTGACTCTCAGGAGGGGATCAGAGGAAAAAAAGCCCCACTGTGGCTCCCACTCCCTTAGCCCATTACTGGCTCCTGCAGAAAGAAAACTCTGTTCAATAACGGGTGCATCTACATTGCACCCTTACCTTGAAATAAGCTATGCAATTTGGTAATTTCAAAATAAAGCGCTATTCCGAAACGTCTTTTAATCCTCATGGAACAAGGTTTACTGGGATGTTAAAATAGCAAGCCCATTATATTTTGAAATAATGGTCGCGCTCAAAAGACGCAGAATAGTTATTTTGGGATACTTCTGGTATCTCGAAATAGCTCCACAGTATAGACATAGCCTAAATAAATATTGAGAGGGACAGCCACTGAAAGATTGGGAGAGTGGGCACATGAGAAATTGTTACATACAATATACAGTGTTGTTAATAAGTGGGATATTAGGGTATAGAGAGGGGAGTGAATGATGATACAAGAGGGAACCTCTGTAATCAAGGGTGGGGAACTTCCCTGGATCTGGCCCCTGAGACTCAGCTCCCCACCCCCTAGCATTGAAGAGCCCATGCTGGTGCTTCAACCCCCTTACCACCTCACTGCGGGGCTGGAGCACTCAAAATCTACTAGCCCAAGTAGATCAGCAGGGGTACTGGATGTGCCTCCTTTTTTAAAAATCAAGTTCTGCTCTGCTTTGAGTGCATTATGCAGTGTAACAGGCTTTCATCTGCATTCTTGCCATGTTTCGCAATGCTAACCATCACCCCCCATCTTTTGCTAATATTAACCAAAGCATGCACCATATCAGCATAATTCCATTTAATGGCGTATGTGTAATCCCAGAAAAAAACTATATAAAAGATTAAATTAAAGTTGAAAGTACCTATGAATAATTTAGGGTAATAATCCTCAAACCAAGCATTTCCGCACATAACCATCTTGCAATATTTTCTTTCATTATACATCATGCACTGAACAGGCCCATATAACCATTACCTAACATGTCTTACACTTACATAATTTTAACTATGGATTCCTTGGCTAACCAGTACATATTAAAGCAGAGAGCAAAGTTTTGTTCTGCTGCCATCATGTACAAGAGGACAAGTGAAGAAAACACCTACATACATTTAAATGTACATCCTACTTCACAGACTTTCTATTTATCCTCTTTTTATCCTTTACCTATAGGAACTTTCACTTTAAGATATCATAAGGTGTGCATTTTATACCCAATCAGTACTAATTATGGAAATCTTGTTTGGAAAACAGGATATTCCAGAACATCCTATTGACTTCTACAATGTTTCTTCTCATTTACAGCACTGTGAGATTCAGAAACAGACCTTTCGCCTGTTAAACCTGTCAACTGACTTTGTTGCTGTTTGTTACAACCAGAAACAAAATTCAAAGTTCACATGAAAGTCTGGCTACTATGTAATATTCTTTAGCAAAACTCTGAATAGCTGAATTGCTTGTTGGCTAATAATAATAGGTTAGTACAGATCACTTGGACAGGACTAATAACTGAGAATGTAATGTTGTTTCCAAGGTTCAGGTTTGCAATCTGTTGCCATACAGCCTGAATTATTTACATACTGCTGAGTGAATAAAGATGAAGCAAACAGCCAGGTTAGAGAGTGACCTTGGGACTCTTGAAACCTAGCTTCTGGTTATTGGACAATTTGTGCTTAACTCATAATGGAATGGTGCCTGTCACACTGCTCTCTGTGCATCCCCTGCTGGTCACAGAACAAAATCTATTCAAGTCTTTTCAATGATGCCATAAATGCTGATGACTAATGAGAATAGAAGGGAAGAAAAGAAAGAGAATGAAAAAAGAATGAAAACCTTGTGCCTCTCCTGACCCATCCCCCTCTTGTGGATGAAGTGGTCTATAAGAGAAATTAGTGCTTAAAGTACCAAAGTCAGCTAGGGAAACTGAGGGAGGGGAAATAATTTCTATTAACTTATTGTCTGGTTGAGTTCAGACCAACTAGTTCTAATTCTTTAGAACAGGCAAAATGCAGATATTTTACATGTGCTCAAACAGGAGGGTTACATTACATCGTAATTGAATGTAGCCTAATTAATAAAAATTAATGCCATGTGGCAAGGATTATGCTGTATAATATAAAATTAAACTATAATATACTCCAGTAAGTATTCTAGATACCAGTAGACAGATTGTATGCAACATTTTTATTTCATTCTAGAATCTAGCTGAATTTGGTTTTCAGCCTCTCCCCCTATTTCTTCAAGCTTTGCTACCTCAGCCACATAGATTAAGTTCAGACTGAAATTTGAAAAACTTCATCTCTTTTCAGAAGAGGACTTTCTCCCAATTAACATCTTTTTTAAGTTAATAGATGTTTGCTATTTTTTGCAACTGAAAAACTTTAAAAAAATCAGTCCCCATGATATTGACTTCTGTTAGTATGAAATTTCAGACCAGCCAAGACAGCAAACATTAAAAATCATGTACTTAAAGTGAGCATGTGCAGAGATGATCATCTCTGGTTTCTCTTTAGCTAGCTGCCAAATAAGCTAGTAAGAACATGTAAAGTAATTGTACAGCTTGGTTTAAACTCTGATTTTAACTGTCTCCACATATGGTTGTAAAGAACATGTCCCTTGTTAAAGACACTTCACTGGCAGTTTCTTTCTTTCTTGGGGTATGTGCTGAGTTTGCAGACAACCAAAACAAAAAAGGCACTTAAACAAAACTTGTACATCACTAGGGTAATGTCTCGCTTTTTGTACAAAGTCTACTGAAAGTCAGTCTATCTCAAATAAAAGTACATGTTATAATCTCTTTAAAAAAGCATCTATGTCTCTGAGCAGTTAATCCCTAAAGCACTCCCTGCATCTTGTACCATCTCCCTACTACTGAAGGTGGATTTCAACTAAAAACAAATGGCAATATGTGTGTTACTTTAGAGGCATTACAAGAGGCAAGCCCATCTGTATGATGCTGAAGATGTTGGAGAATTTGTTGGATCCAAGTTATTACAAAGTGGCCTCAGGGCTGTGTTAGGTCTTGAGCCATACCACAAAATTGAGCCATGAACTAGACTGTAAAAATCAATGAGGCTAAACTGCAGTCCCAGCATTTTTTGAGGTGTCAGCCAAGTCCAGATCACAAAAGTTAACTGCAACAAATCACTGCAATGTATAACTTAAACTAGCAATTAATGTTCTGACACCATTCTGAAGGTCACTTCAATTAGCTGGGGAACACAGCAAGTTTCACTGCACTATACATCTCCACCGTTAGAAATACAGACAGGATTACTGGTGATGAGGGCCACATCTGGAAAGGCCAACAGAAATCCACATCCCTCTCCCCCTCTCCCCCCATCATAAATATAATATCATTCGGCACCAGGTAAATAGTCCTAAATATATAAATATCCCAAATGCTTCATTGTAAGTATTGGGCTGGTGTCAAAACACTGGGTTCCAAAGGCATTTGGAGGCTATTCAGATCCCATAACTCGCTGTGTAATGGCTACTAGTACCCAGTAAACCTGGGTTCTTAGTCTCCCATTCCAGACCCCAAGTTTTGAGGCTTGGACTCCCCTTGAATGCCACATTTGGGGCTCCCCCGAGATAACGGTCTCTAACGAGCGCTGGGAGGATGCCCCCGGGCGGTATAAGGGAAACAGCTCAGGCTGCCTTACCACTCTGCCGGAAAACCTCTCGATGGCCCGCTTCACTTTGCCATAGGTGCCCTTGCCCAGCGTCTCCTGCAGCTCGTAGCGATGCTTCAGGTTGTGCTTGTGGTGATGCCGCTTCACCCCTTGCTGCTTCCTCAGCTCCGGCGCCGGCGGCGCGGCTGTCACCTCAGGGCAGGGAGCCTCTTC